TAAATTATCCCCGATATCAGATCGGGACACCATTAAAAGGGGCTTTCTCCAAACTTTAAATTTCATGCTAGAGATTAATGCCCTTAAACTGGAAGAGGGTAGGTTTAGATTAGATATTAGGAAGAAATTCTTCATTGTGAGGGTGGTGAGACACTGGAACAGGTCACCCAGAGAAGCTGTGGATGCCCCCTCCCTGGAAGTGTTTAAGGCCAGGTTGGATGAGGCTTTGAGCAACCTGGTCTAGTGGAAGTTGTCCCTGCTGATGGCAGTGGGGTTGGAACTAGATGTTCTTTAAGGTCCCTTCCAACTCTAACCATCCTATGATTCTATGAATAATTCCAGTACTTCTGTTCACATACACTGTATTTGGATGAACAAGTGGCCCTCTACCTTTCTGTAAAAGCCATCTGTCTATCTGAAAACATTATTTTCCATCATCTTCCCTTCTTAGTCAACTCTTCTTCAGGCTAATAAATCGCCTCTGTCAGTCACTCCCCACAGACTATCTTTTCAAGACTTGTGATTGCCTTTGTTCTCGCCTGTGGAGTCTCTCACCTTTTGTGAAGTGAGGGTCAAAACCTGTACTGAGTCAAAATGCAGTTTCACAACTGCCAGGAAAATTGGAGGATTACTCAAATTATTTTACAGATGGTAAGCCCGTCTGCATGTTCCAGTAAAACATGAGGAATATAGGCATCTTATAATTTAGTGTCACACTCAGATAATTTTTCAGGTGGTATTTTCTGACCAGTATTTCTGTATACCTCATTGTATTAGATACTTTTTGCTGAAGCACAATCCCTTCCATTTGCCTCTTAAATTGCATACTATTTTTTCAGACCATGTCTTCAGTTTTGGACTCTAAGAATCAATTCCAATACATTCCTAGTCCTTCCCAGTTTGAAGTCAACTCCAGATTTTACAAACATACCCTTCATTCCAAGTCCATCTGGACTAAACATGAAAATATTGGCTAGTACCTGATCCAGCACAAGCGCCCGCCAAATACCACACAACACATTCTTCCTTTTAAACAGAAAACATTGCTAGTTACACTCTGAGCAAAGTTTTCTAAATAGGTCTGCATCCAGTTTATGATATTTTCACCTAGACTGCAATTCCCAAATTTGCTTAGAATACTGTATGCAACAGTTGAGATAACACTACTAAATTCAAGAGACATGACACCAAGTGCTTTTTCTCCAGCTATAAAACTGTTCTCCCATCAAAGAAAATTATTAGATGGCTTTCATACTATTTGTTCTTAAAAATTCAGCACTGGTTATTGATCATGTCGCCATAGTTACATACGATTTACCTGATTATTTATTTCAATATTTTTCTAGGAATTAAAAATTACTTGTCTGTGATACTTCTCCTCTGCTTTCCTTCTTCAGAATCATTCAATTCCCTGGTGCCCATAATAGTTGTTAAGCTGCTGTGAGCACAAAGGTTACCAAAATCATGCACTCTAGTAGAGAACATAAGTCATAAGGGGAAATAAATGAATAAATAAATAAATAAATAAATACCACCACTTTTTATGCTTCTTTGTATTTCACAGATCTTGTATTGTTTAGGACACGCATTCATTATTTTACTTGCTTTGTATTCACAATCCTATTAATAATATTTATTTAATTAATCCTATTAAGTCCTGAGCACTTTATTTGCCTGTGTTCAGGACTTAGCCAAACTAGTTGGGATGCAGATGATTTCAAGAAAAAATTATTTTCAGACAAGGAACTACTCAGTGGATGTCTGGGGCAGCCAATCTGTTCACTGCTGTATTTAACAAAATAGATAAACCGTGTCTTTTAGATAAGAACCGTGGAAGAATTATGCATGCCTTTACTAACTCCAGATCAAACCATTGTACTGTAGTCAGCCTTGGCTCTCCCATGAAGACATCTAGGATCTGACAGCATTGATTAGAAGCTAGAATCAGAATATTCATTAGTTAACTTATCAGGCATACTATACACACCAGTTCCCTAATGGCATGAATCGCTGCATTTTTGTCTTACTGACAAATTTTTGTGAGTAATCAGTAATATTTATGGTTCAAGCATAAGTAGCTGAAACACACATGCACCTTCCTATATGATTGAGATGTTCTCTCTGTTTACATGAGGTTGTTGAGAATGGAAGATACTGTCCTATTTTCTCACCAAAGCTGACTTGAAAGAACCAGCGTTCATATGTACATGCCCTGAAAGTCAAATCCAGTAGATCAAGCCAAGCTTTCTGAGGAAGGACAGGAAGGCTGTTTGCAATTTTATTTTTTTTTTTAAGATATTATTTTCACAGAATCACAGAATATTTTGTGTCATTTAACACTGTACTTATTTAAAGACCAATTCTGCCCTCTTTCAAACCACCTGCTACTCATCATCTTACTCCCTGGTGTCCAAAATCTACTGTTCCTGAGAAATAGACATTTTTTCAGGCCAGAAATAACTATGGATATGCGAGGCAGGGAGGAGAAAAATATCAAAGATATCCTTCCCATAATAATGTCTGTATTTATATAGCACATTTCATCCTGAAGGAAAAACAAGAGTAGGTCTTTGTAAATCATAGATTTTTTTGTTGTTTTTCAAATTTAACAAAATTAAAAACCCTAGATTTATCAGTGCTGGAACATGGAAAATGAGGTCTCATTGGATTATGATTTTCCTAAAATAAATGAATCACATCTCCTCAAATCCTGCTGTAATTCAGTTGGTGGTTGCTTTTTGCCCCTAACTCATCAAGGAGTTCCCCCTTTACAAAAGGAGGCAAGAGACATATATTTTTTTGCCTCTCTCAGGAACTATTCTTAAATTACTGCCAAAACTGTCACCTTAGCAGATGTGCGAGCAGCAAAATCATCCATAATCTCCTCCAACTTGTGTTCAAGTAACACGCCTGCGGGTGTTCTGATCACACTGTGTAGACCTAGGCAGAGCTCAGGGACACTCTAACCCAGCAGCTATAAATACAAAACCTGATAAACATACACTCACCAATTTCTCTGGAGATCTGGGTGAATGCCTCCACACCACTCTCTCCATAGTTGCCTTCGGAAGCCAGTGTTGACACGTAGTTCCAACCAAGGGCTGTCACAATGTCAACCATGGCCTGTGCTTGGTAGGAGTCCGGTGGGACCACTCGAGAGAAGAAGTCATACCTGGTGTTGTCGCTCAGTTCTGGAGCTGTAGATGCATAGCTGATTTGAGGTATCTGCAAATAGAATGACAAGTCATTCAAGCCAATCTAATACCATTTTACACTATATACTTGTATGTTTGAAAGGCTGAAAATAGATTACGCACAAGCATCGCACAGATCAGACTATCTGGTTTTAATTAAATCAACTGATCAGAAAGTATCTCAGATTTTGTAAAACGTTTGTTAAGTTTTATTGTATAACACTCTCACCAAGAAATAATGCATTCTGCTTTTCTCCAGATGTCATGATTCTTGACATCTAAGTGTACCAACTTCTTATTTGTTCCTGGCTCTGATAGGAACGTGTGAAGAAAAAAAAAAAAAAAAAAGAAAAAAAAGGAGCAACCTTTACTAATTCTATAGAGGATGAAAAGGTCACTGTGATTCTTAAAAATGCTACACTTAAATTTGATGAGGAAAATTTGGATTATTTCCATTTCATTGTTTTGTTTCTTTATGTACAGGCAACTGTGCTTTGCCATTTCATTCCTATTTTTCAAGCTTTCTCTGCCATAGATTTTTCATTTTCTAGTTTTAGTATGGTGTTATGCATGATTTAAGACTATGGAGATTATATAGTTAATACCAAAAGCTAGCTGATGAAAAAATAACAAACAAAAAATTATCTGTATGCAATATACATACAGAGAAGGATAAAACTTACAAGGCTGGTACTCTTTGTAGAAACCACCACAATATTATTTGTAGAAACAAACAAAAAAAAATCACCACTAAATAACTGAAATATATTTTTAAATAAATTATTATTTTCATAGGAAAAAAAATAGAGTTATTTTGTATCAACTCTTATCTTAAATAAATAGTTTGGCAATGTCCAGAAGAAGCTGTCTGTAAGCAATATTTAATTATTCTGAAGAGTATTTTGGTGCAAGAAATTTAATTAACATTTGTCATAGCTTAAAAAGGAAATTATTTTCTTACTTAAAATAGTAAAACTGATTAAAGAGCCACTAGTTTGAAACGAAAGATACTCCAAATATTGCACTGCATTTGTTATCTATATAAAAAATGGTGCTTAATTCACATCTCATAAAACATAAAATAGTTTTCAAGAAAGCAATCCGAACAGAGTTCCTAAATTGATTCTGTTGAGAACCAAATTTAGCAGTCCCAGATAACAGATGATCTGGTAAATGCTCATTGTCATATTAGGTGTTATAGTAGAAAGTTTCAGTGCAACCCTTAGGTCCTGTACAGTGCTTCCTCATCAGCTCAAACTAGAAAAGGGATTTGAGGCAAATACAAGGGATTAAAGGAGTTTAGTCATTAACCATACCTGCAAAGACAGTGTAGACTTACAGCCTGAAAAAACAGTTTATAGCCTAAGGGATAGCAAAATCATTTCTCAGTCAGAAGCAAATAAAATAAACTCTTATGTATCTTGGCTATATTCTTCTTTAAGAAATTTTCTATTCATGGAAATGCCTCAGAATAAATAATCTGAAATGCTGTAATAATAAAAACCAGAGAGAAAAGAAAAAAAAGGAAAGGGAAGATTACATAAAAAGTAAGGTAAAGGTTGTATCTCACAGAAATCAGTATTCCTAACACAACAAAGATCCACCAAGTAAAAATAAAGGATAAATTGTCCTTACAAAACTTGCCTTGTATAAATTCCCTTTCTTGCAGAAAATGAAACATCTTTATCTCTTCACAGACAAGAGATTTTGGCCAGTAATAACACAATTATGCACATTTAGAGCACATATCAGTCCCTTTCTAAATTTGTTCTATTACTCTCTAAACCAATCATCTTTTTCCAGGTGGTAAAAATATAAAAACAACCTCTGTGATTTTACTTATTTTGCTCCTTGGTGCGCCATTTCACAAATACCATGGCATTGTGGCTTTGCTGAAAGTTATTTCATCAATAGTGTTAATAAAATCAAGCAGTTAGAGATCTTTTAGATGGATACATTGTCACTGAAAATCTTGAAGTCTAGATCACGGAGTTATATCCACTAACTTTCTCAGTTGCTTTTTCTTTTCAGGCATGAGATGAATAAAAAATCCTAGATATGTGTTTGTGGGAGAGCTGTTGGTGCAACACAGCAATGGGATGTTTCAGACAATAGAGATATTTTATGTACTATGAATATTACTTATTTGGGGCCTTCGAAAATACAGAGAAGACATGCTACTTTCCTGTTTTTCAGCTCTTTCTAGTTCAGCTTCTTCCCTAGAGTTATTTCTAATAACAGTGGAAGAAAACAGAAGGTAAATACAGTCCAAATCCAATACCCTGAAATCATCTGGCATTACCTAGTAGGTTTAAATCACCACTCTATTATAACTTCTGCCAACTTTTCACTAGCATGAAAAAACAATATGCCATGTAAAAATACAGAGAAAGACACTCTCTAAATAGCAAGCCATCCGTAAGTTTTGGGGAAAATTGTTCATACATCAGAATATGTAGTTATTTTCCTTATTTCTTTTTTGTATACAACCCTCATGGTTATAGACAACACTTTACATTCAAGAATTTTTTTCCCCAAAACTGCAGATCTCCCACCCAGAAATACCTCATGGATTTCTTTCTGTGAAAGGATTTTATACAAAAGTAAACAGAAACTTCCTTCCTTGACCATTTTTAAATGCACATTTGTATACAGGGAGTCACTGAAAAATAGTTTTAAAATCTGAGGATTTGAGGTATGTTCCAACAGTTACACAGTTACTCAAAGAAGTTGTTTGGCATGAGGACAAATTGTTAGGATTTAGTGGATCAATAATCCATGAATGAAAAATACCTTAAAATGTAACAACTCTAGTTATGGGCTGTAGGTTTAATATACCATTTTACATGTCCCCAAGTACTTTTTACAAGATAGAGTATCATGCTGCCTAAGCAAGGGAGCTGTTATGCTCTATCAATTCAGTAATATGTGTTTTTAAAACTCCCTAAATACAGACAGTATTTATACTTTAAGTTCCACTGGCCAACTGAGACATAAATTTGCATTTTGAAAGACACCTGTAAATGAATTTTATATTTCTCATTCTAGATTTCTCAAACTATTTTTTTCAAAAATACATACAATATGTGTAACATATACATTCTATTTAAGTACCATATAGCACTGTTAATAGCATACTTCCTTTTCTTTGGGGAAAAAAAAAGGAAAAAAAACCCCAATGGATTATATAACAACATTCGAATTATCTGTCACACAACAGCTGTCACATTCACTGACAATGGCTAAAAGCATTCATGTTTGAATGTTAATTGATATTTTTTTTTCTATTCTTATGGTTTGGATGCTCCCTCCCATTAACCTATAATCAATTGATAGACTTTCAGTTTATAATGGGTGACAGACTTGAATTCTTTGAAATTATTATACAGAGGAATTCATAGAAGTCTTATTTTAATTATTAAGTTTGTGGTAACTACTAAATGTTTGAATACAAACATTTATAGCATGGTGCTTTGAAACCATATCCAATTTTAGTTATGAATTGGCCTTAATCCTGGTGCATACTGAAGTACTGCTGAAACTATCCTTCCATTCTTTAATCTAAATCAGTGGTGGCTTCATCTCATTCTACTATCCAATTATTGGATAGTAGAAAACGATTCTCCATGCTTAAAAAACAATAGAGTTTGTAACAAAATAAAGAAAGAAAGAAAAAGAAAACAATTGCTGAAAACTAAGTAGACAGGCTAAGCCTTCAAGGCACATTCAAATCAAAATCAGCAGCCTAGAATAGTCTCTGGTTTTTTTGGATCTTTTTGTATACATCTCCAAGCTGATTTAAAATCTGTCTCTAAAGATCTCCCCTTCCCAGAGGATTACAGAAGATGTAGCAGTTACCACAAAGTGTTACTGTGGCAGCACTTCAAAGGAGGAACAACATCTGTACAAGATATCCACCAAGCATTACTACAGAACAGACTTCTCACATCATCAGTGCAAAAGACAGCTAAGGTAACTTTCTATTTATTTCATACAAGTGGTAAACCACTATCAGTCCCACGTACATTGAAATAAAAGCCACTCACCACTCCCAAATCCAAAATTATTCATAGGGAAGCATTACCCTGGATCTGTTTGTTGGGTCCAGTGCTGGGATCCAAACCTAAAAACATGGAGGTGTTGTACTGAGGACGGTAGAGGAAACTACGTGACCTAGGTTTGCCCTTCCAATAAAGCATCTTCAACACAGCAGGCAGCTCTTAGTATGTCTTCTTTTCAATGACATGCTGTCCAAGTTTTCGACAGGAGTTCACTGGAACCTTTTTTACTGAGCTTTCAAATCCATTTGCATGTTGCATTTGTCAATGTAAAGTATCAGCTGGCCATTTCAAATGCCATCTTCCTTTATACAGCCTTTCTGCTGAGAGCATGATTTGGGAACAGAGTAGCAGACAGTGAAATGAACTGAGCTCATAAGAAAAAAGACCTGAGAAAGGAATCACCAATAATTTTGAACATTACTGATTATGAGTTACAGCAGTAACTGTGCTGTACAGTCACCCAGCATAATGGATTTAAATCACTCATGTCTTCAGTTTCACTACCCACTCAGTCCTATGACTACTAACTTTAACATATCAACTAGCATTTTATTTCCCTTTTCCATTCTCTCATCACTAAGCAGTCATTTTTTGAGGTATATTAGCAACAGCACATTAAAAATAGTAATAATTTTAGCTAACAAATTGAAGTCAATAAACTTTAAGTTAGTGATTGCTCAGCATCAGCTGGCATTTTATCACCAACTAATAAAGCTTCCAAAGGAGTTAAAGTGCTTCAAATAAAATGTGACTGTGGAAAAACATTTTCAAATTGGTGATTTTTTTAATTTTAATTGTCTATCAAAAATCATTAATGGCCCTGTCTTTTCAAGACTTTTATTCCTTCTTCTGTACAGCAAGAAAGAGTTCTTTGGGAGTATAAAAAAAAAATCACAGCAGTGAAATGAATCCTCAGGGCCTAGACATGGAACTGTTGCTGGATGAGAGCTGAGGTCACTATACTTTAGCT